CGGATGCTGACTTGCTATCAAAATTGACGCAGGCAGCCCTGGAGCATGTGTCCAAGTTGGCCAGGATTGAGACGCTGGAAAAGGCTAGCATTGAAAGGCTTTCTGTGAGCCTGATAGAGGATGATGGACAGCCCAACCTAACCCTGGTGGAACCTGATGATATTTGGATTGATGACTTGGTCAAGTATGACATGACCGGGCAATTCCCTGAGGATGAGGATAGGGCAAGAAAAGTAAAATTAAGGGCTCCAAGATTCCAAATGCTTGATGGAAGGCTATACAAAAGGGCAATTGGTGGTCCGCTGTTGAGATGCTTGACCAGGGCGGAGGCGGAGAGAGTAATCGCCGAAGTTCATGAGGGTGTCTGTGCAGCCCACCAAATGTCCAGGACACTCGCACAAAGGATCATCTTGCTAGGCTATTTCTGGCCTACAATGAACCAAGATTGTGAGAAGTATGTGCAGAGGTGCAAGACTTGCCAGGTGTTCTACAAGTTTCCGGGAAGGCCTGCGACATATTACCACCCAGTTTCCAATGTTATTCCATTCGCAAGGTTTGGGATGGACATCATTGGGGCCTTCCCTCAAGCACAAGGGAGGAAGAAGTATGTCATGGTTGCTATCGACTACTTCACAAAATGGGTAGAGGCCGAGGCATATGCAACCATCACAACCAAGCAGTGCCAGCGCTTCGTTTGGAAGAATATAATCACCAGGTTCGGTCTCCTCGAAACATCGTGACGGACAACGGGCCTCAATTTCGGAATCCAGGGTTCACCAAATACTTGGAGGACTTCGGGATTACTCACAACAAGGCTTCCGTGGCCTACCCGCAAGGGAATGGTCAAGTGGAGAATGCGAACCGCACGATAGTCGACGGGATTAAAAAGCGGTTGGGTGAGGCCGGAACAAATTGGCTAGAGGAGTTGCCACATATCATCTGGGCTTACCGAGTCACTTCGAGAAGGGCCACCGGGGAGACGCCTTTCGTCCTTACTTACAGATGTGAGGCCAGACTACCCATTGAAGCAAAGATAATGACCTTCCGCGAAAACATCTACGAAGAGAAAGGGAATGAGGAGGACCATTTGGCAGAGTTGAACTTGTTGGAAGAAAGGCGAATGGTTGCTGAGGCTAAAATGATAGAGTACCAGCAAGCTGCCAAGGCCTACCATGATAACAAGGTAGGGCCTCGTTATTTCCAAGTCGGTGATGAGGTCTTGAGACGGAGGGAGGCCAGCAAACCGAGTGATGGTGGAAAGCTTGCGAAGAAATGGGAAGGTCCATATAGGGTCAAGGCAATATTACGCCCTGGGACGTACAAGTTAGAAACAACGGAAGGTCGAGAGGTGGAAAGGTGCTGGAATTCCCATCACCTTAGAAAATTCTACCGATAGGCCAAATTAGCAAAGACTACATTTGTAATATCCCTTCGATGATGAATAAGAGATTTCTCCAATACTTGTGTTGCTGGGTCTGTAATACTGAAATAATGTTTTGATATGAGAGGCAAGGTCAAAAAAAAAAAGAAGAGAGAGAGATAAACCCTTGAGATAGGGGCCTTGATGTTGAGGTATGGCCTTGAGATAGGCTGGGTCTGGAAGAGGACTCGCGTCCATACTCACATGGATCCCTACCGAATTTTCATTTGATAGGGGCAAAAAGATGCTAAAGTAAAAAATGATTACCGTCTTGCATGAGCCATCCTTTGCAGATTGAAGGGTCTAGGGAAGACTAGAATTCACTTCAAACGCATAACATATGGACACGTAAGATTGGATGAGGGCTGGTTCTCACCGGCATACCCCCACGTGGGAAGGTTGGGTTGGCTAGGTCAACCTAATGATTAGAGAATGGCACACTAAAAAACTTAAAACCTGGAAGAGGGGCCCTGGAAGAAGGGTGTTGCCTGGAAGAGGGCTGAACCTTGGAGAGGGTTCGCGATCATAGGACATGGTCAAAATCTCCGAAGAAAGTTCGGGTCTTGATGATGAGACTTGATGATTCCAAAACCGTTTCGGATTATTCGTTCGAAATTTGAGCAAGGATGCTGTTAGGCATGACACCAAGGCCAGAGGAGGAAAAAAGGTGGCATGGTCAAAAGTGACTGGTCACTTTTTTATGTTCTGATTGACAAGAAAATGCGAATGGGAAAAATTAAAATTTGACCGGTCATTTTTGAGAAAAGTGACCGGTCACTTTTTAAGTTGGCGGATTTGATGAAATCAGACAAAACTGGAAAACATATTTTTTGACCGGTCATATTTTTGACCGGTCATATTTTTGACCAGGCACCTGGACAGGAAATTTGACATCATGCTGGTTACATGTAGCAGCCAAGCCATCAGAACCTGGAAGTTGACTGGGCCAGAAAACAGGCGAGGAAGAAACAGACCTAGGCGTTTTCAAGTCAAGAAACCAGGACATGAGATGACCTGGAAGTTTTCAAGCCTTGCGTCTAAAATGGTTTTCAAAACTTCCAACCTAGCCTACTACACCAGGACATGAGATGACCTGGACGTTTGTTGCAGTTTAACCTAGACACAAGCCGGTCCGGAAGACAAATCAGGCCACAAGCTCTGGACATTTTCAAGGTTGCAAGACCTGGATGTTTTCAAGGCTTGTACTTGACCAGGACATAACATGACCTGGACATTTTCAAGAGATGGAATTGACCTGGACGTTGTCAACAAAGTCTACCAGACCTAGACGTTCCTAAGGCGTTAACCAAAGACCAGGACGTTAGGTGACCTGGACAACTACAAAGGATGAAACCGGTTGCTTCTTTTGACCCGTCCCAATCGAAGAGTTAACCTCATTTGGTGATTGATAAAAGTGACCGGTCATATTTTGACCTGGCCCTTTCGGTTGTCCGGGTCGGGTATAAGGATATACCCATCAAGAAGTCCTCCACTTACCGGCCTTGTGAGGAAGTCATCAAGGGCGGGAAGTACATTTATGTTGATCTATCACTTTTGAAATCATCAAGTCATTCTCATGACCTGTCCTATTGCAATATATATAGTTGTGTTGTGTACTTCATTCAATCATACTTCACGAGAGCAAAGTTAAAAATATTCAAACCAATAAAATAGCTAATAATGTACCGCTTACTGAGACTACCTCGGACTTCTTGTTTACAAAGGTCTTTCGGTCATACTCCAGAGTGTGCATCGGTGTAGGAAGAATGCAAACAAGTATGATGCTTCCCTGCTTTTTAGTTATACATTCAAAATATTTAAATGGGTTAAATATTTCATGTATATCAACATATGCTACATTAACTTATTAGTATAGTTTTCAACATTACTACTTTTACAATGCGTGCCTCTAACTCATGAAAGGACAACAGACGGTCACTCATTATTGTACTATTACAAATTTGACTTTATACAATGGATAAATGATGTTTTCCTACCGTAAAACAGCCACTGTATATGCAATCGATGAGAAAATTCACTTATTTACACCACAAATATTTATACGATGTGTAAAGTTTACATAATGAACAATTATCCATTGTCTAAACTCGAAAGTTTTTTTTCCATCAATTGGATACACGAAGCAAATTATACTATACAATCGGTTGTACCCAAAATTGGGTACACCCGACAAATCAAAGAAGAAAAGGCGTTGATCAGAGGAGAAAAGAGCCGCTCCTAGTTGGGTCGGGTCAGAGGAAGGAAGATGCGTCGAAGGAGAGTTGCAGTCGGATCAGGAGGAAGAAAGCTAGTGTATGGAAGGGAGATGTGCACAATTGATTGAGGAAGCTGTTGACAGGCCGAAGGACAGATGCTGTATGAAAAACCTAGTGGAGGAGTCGATCGATGGGAGGAGAGGGCAGCGGGTTGGCTGAGAGAAAAAAGAAAATTATTTATGGTATAAATTTTATTTATATGAGAATAAAGTTTAAGTTTTTCGAGAATGATACTATTTTATTTCAGAATATACACTACATTATTTGTAGATAAGTTTTATAATTGTATTGAATAAATTTGTGAAAATGAACACTACATTATTTTAGAATGAGTATTACATTTTTTAGAATGAGTACCACGCTATAGTTATGTTTGTATGAAAATGAATACTATTCTAATTCAGAATGAGTAATACTCAGATGTACCCTCTCTGGTACATTCGGTCTTACTAGGGGTGTTCATTCGGTAAAACCGAACCGAAATTTTGGTAAACCGAAATTTCGGTAAAATTATATTTGTACCGAATACCGAACCGTATTAAATCGGTTCGGTATGGTTAATACCGAAATTATTTCGGTTTGGTATTTGGTAATACCGAAAAAACCAAAAATTTCATTTTATTTTCATCTATACTTCACTTTTTTATTTTTAATTTGTACCACAAGCAATCTCATTCAACATTTAAAGAAATTAGAAATACTTTATATTTTTTTAGCTATAGTTAGTCATAAATTACTTAGTTTTTCATATTATTAAAAGATTATCGAAGCACATGATTTTGATCCTGTAAATAAACTGAAACATAAAAAAAGAAATAAAAAATACAAAATACAAAAAGTATTATATCAAAATGTTTAAAAGATCATACCTTTAGCCATCGGTAATTTATTGCCCTACGAAGTGAGGTCAATGTAATGATCATTTAGAATAAATGAAACAAAAAATTGAAGATGAAAGAGTCAAACAGTAAGCATGAGAAAATTTAGCTAGATATGGAATATTTTTTTAGAAATTAAAATTGTGAATAAAAGGAAGGATAAAATAAGGTAGACTCAAGGTTAGAATTCAAACTTCAAAATATTTAAAATAATAAAATGGAGTAATAATTTGGTATTCGGTAAAAACCAAATTACCAAATTGCTAAGCGAAACCGAACCGAAAACCAAATTTTAGCAAAAAGAAAAACCGAATACCGATTCAAATTATTCAATTTGGTTTGTGCTTTATGCAACATATAATTATTGAACTTTATTACGGAGTACATAGTGGGTAATTAATTATTCAATTGCGTAAACATGAGTTACCCATCGGTTGTTTTGACTGGAAAGGATAGACTCACGAGGGAGTATTTTTTTGCTCCTCACAAAAGAAAGCGGAGCCGCCGCCTTCTTCGACTTTGAGGAAAAGGTGCGGCCACACGATTCCATTCTGCGGAGAATTGTCAGATTGCGGCTCAATGGTAGAACCCGAACACGAAGCTATCGCCGACTCCGAGTGCTCAGATGGGGATGATGCCAGCGACGACGAACAGGAGGAACTGTGGTCCTCCTCGGACGAAGAAATCGGCGGCGCCTTAGACTACTTGGACGCCATTGATGGTTCGGAAAGCGGCGTTGCTGGAGGCTTTACTTTGCAATCCACTGGTATGCGGCCCAATGCTCACGGAGGAGTGAAGTCTCGACCTAACAATTCTACCCTCCAACCCCTTTCCAATCGTACCCAGAAATTCGCCAATCACATAAAGGCTTCTCCATTGGAGGTAGGTGATCATCATTGTCAATTGAAAGAAATTTCTTAAGAAATAGGAACAAGGTTTTAACATCCGAATTTTGTTGGCTAATGATTGTTAAATAAATGTGCTTGCTACCGAACTCAGTCTTATATGTGTGAAGGTATGTTGTATCATTGTGTTGAGTTTGATAATAGAAACATAAAAGAATCCGTGTTTAGTCTTGTTTTAGTTGCATTTTAATATTTTGAGTCTAGTATGTACATGAAAGCATCAAAATGACACATTTTAACTTCAATATATGTGAGTAATGTGACCAATGCCGGGAAAGAATCCATTTGGACTTTCATTTTATGCAAAGTTTTGTTTGTATATTGTAATAGTGTTCAATATATGTGACCATATCTTTTTGAAAATGTTTTTATCTAGTTGTATTTTACTCTTCTATCTAGTATACCATGGCAGGTGCACCAAGGTTGGTGTACCCTCAAAGCCATGAGCGTTAGCTTTGAAATCAATGAAAGTTTACATCCATGGCAAATTCACAACTTAATTTCTTTATTTGACAAGTATTTGCTAATAAAAAAAATTTAACATTGAAATTTAAAATGAACATCACTAGAACTTCAAGTTGTGATGAAGATCACCCACAAAGCTAGCAGAGATAAAATGATGGTAATATCTCATTTTGTGGAACAAAGTGATTCTGATTGTAAAGGATAGAGGATTGTTTATAAAAGGAATCACTTTCTACCTTTTCTGTTTTTGCTATAGGAATATTGATATGTGCATGAAAAATGACATTAGGAGATGCATTTTTTACCATGTCAATGTTGGTATGTTACTACTATGTAAAACTAAGTGAAAGTACTTTACATTGAAAACTTATGTAAAGGGATGGAAGTTGACATGCAAATGTTTTATTGGTTAGAGTTGTGATAATTATCTATGCCATTCACACGTGTGATATGCTATCAGATGTTCTGTTTCATATCATGGAAATATGGAATGGACTTTGGAGATGGTTGTCTGTAATAGCTGAGCTGCTTTGTTGAAAAATGAAGTGTACTTGATTTTCTGTCTTTCACAGGAATGGGAGGGAAGGATAAGTTTTAGTATGTCAAACTCTGTGAAAACGGAAATTCGTGAGAGTGTTCGTGAGATGGCCATCGGAAAAACTAAAACCTCTGACAAAGCAGACCGGGCAACTGTTGAGCAGGTATTGTACCTAATTTGTGGTGATACACAAGTTTGTGAATCTTGTGCACTGAGTAATGAATATGTGATCATAAAGATAATTTTCCCTGATAATTTGATTTCCAAGTGCATCAATTTTGTTATTTCCCCCCCTTGAAGTACATGGTTCTGCTGGTACATCTGCAAGTCACTATTGGTTTGATTGTTTTGTAACTCTGTTGTACTGCTCTGGAATTCTTGAATAATCAGTGAACCTAAACATTTTAATACATATTCACAAACACCAAATCATTTTGTGGAAATTAATCTAGACTCACGGACTCAGTTTTCCATTCCCTCATTTCTTTCTTTGTTCAAGAGGGTACTGTGTTTCTCCACAATAGTAGCTCCATTGCTTAAGAACCGTAACATCTGGTGTCACCTTGAACCCAAACAAAAGCTCTACTTTTTACATTTCAAATGAGGAATCTCTTTAAAATCCCTATTTCTGTTTATACTTTGTGCCATGTGTAGAGGGGTTGACATTAGACATCATCGTTTTCACATTCTGTTTTTTGTAAGGCGGGTAGGCTGGGTGTTGGGTAGGAAGGTAGGTGATGATTGAATATGTTCAGATTGTTTGTTGCAACAGTTAAGTATTCTTACGTGCATTCAAGTGATACTGTAAAAAATGCACTTTATAATAATCTACATCCACTTCTATTTTTGTACAAAGTATGTTGCTTCCATCTTTTTTTATGTTAAATCCTACTGATTAGTATTTGAATTTGAATGTCAGTCAGCCTTCTCTTTAGTGTACCTATACAATCTCAATATGAAGTATAAGGGAAACCAAACATTGTCCATTGTCCAATGTATCCCACTCAAGAGTAGGGAGTGGGGAGGGGAATCTTTGCAGACCTTATCTCTACCCTGAGGAGTAGAGACACTTTTTCTAAGAGGATCTTTGACAAAGTGACAAACAGGGACACCTAAGGTCCTAAGGTGAGGTGCAAAAAAAAACAAGACAAAACCACAAAGAGCTAGGCAAGTCCTACTCCCAACATCATTTACATATAGCCCTAACAAAGTTTCAATAGTCCAAATTTGGCACATGTAGGAGCTCCTATTAGAGGCCATTTCCTAGGAGAGATTTATGGCCACTAAGTCCAACCTCAATGCTCATCCCACTACTAGCGTGGCTTGCCTTTACTTCTTGTCCCCTCGACGAAAATGCTCTCCACTCTTCTCACGGATGTTGTGGTTTTTCTACGACAAACATGATCAATCTAGATTTACCTATGGCAAAAGCTACATTGTCACTTATATATTAACAATCATAGATATTTTTGTTTTGTTTTGTGATACAAAAGCGCCTATACATTGGTGTGTCAAACAACCTATGTTTGTAGGCACAAACCTATTGAGCATCTACATCTATGGCTATAATATTTTGGAAGTGCAGACTTGGCATAATGGGTGGAGTCACTCACTTAGTGTCTTGTATGTTTCGCATTTGAACCCACCACCTAGCAAATAGAAAGGGAAAAGTGTGACCTAGATTATGCCTTTCTTTAGACTCCCCCAAATGGCGTGGGAGTTTTGGCATTTTGTATGCCCTTTAATGACTATGATCTTGTATAGTTGTATCTTCATACATATTGCTAAGCTATTTTTTCTTTTACAGGCAATTGACCCCAGAACTCGCATGGTTTTGTTTAAAATGCTAAACCGCAATGTTTTTAATGATATCAATGGCTGCATTTCAACTGGCAAAGAGGTATGTAAGGACGCATTTCTTTGCAAAGTTTGTTTAGCTTTTTATATCTTCCTTGTTGCTGCTCACGTGAATTAATTTACCTGCTCTTTCAAACAGGCCAATGTTTACCATGCTACAAAATCTGATGGGCAGGAACTTGCTATCAAAGTTTACAAGACCTCGGTACTTGTATTTAAGTATGACATTGCTCTTAGAATCTGATCCATTTCCATTAATTGTATCTTTCAGTTGATTTCATAGTCAGTTGTGCTCTTTATCTGTGTGTTTAACTTTTTTTGTACTGAATGTATTCAGTCAGTGTCTTCATAATTTTGTCATCCACTAACCATTTTAATTATTAATCCCACTTCAGGGACAGAGATCGATATGTTCAAGGTGATTATCGGTTCAGATATGGTTATTGTAAGCACAATCCCAGGAAAATGGTTAAGACCTGGGCTGAGAAAGAAATGAGGAATCTTATGAGGTAAGCAAAATCATGTTTCCCCCTTATATCTGGTAACTTCTCTTACTACTTTCCTTTATGTCACCCACTCCAATTCCTTTCTCTGTTTTGTTTTTTATGAGTGCTTTATTTTTCAGTAACTTACCATGTTTGTGATATTAGGTTGCTTACACATTAATGGTCAAGGTGAAAATGCAGCCTAAAATCTATAGTTAATTTCTCATTCCATATCTGTATTTTGCTATCTTTGTTATAATTCTATGGACAACCAAGCAGGATAAGGATGATTGTACTATCTTACAATAATGTTTCCCCATCAATCCTTGCAGAAAACAGAGTATTCACTGTGTTTCCATTGTCTGCTTGTATGATTGAGTAATGGGCATTACCTTTTGGGTGGTACTATTTTTGTGTTTGGTTACGTCATGTGTATTTCTTATCTATGTACCCCACCTGTATATTGAGATGCATGCAATAAGACCGGTAAAGAAATAAAGTAAGAACTAAGGCCATGTTCTCCCCAACTTATTTTCTTACTTATTACTTATTCTTATTGGAATCAGATCATATCAGATTTGATTAGAAACAGTTTTAAATATGACTACAATTAGAACCAATCAGATCAGGTGTAGAACATGGCCTAAGATTCCCTCTTGGTTTTAAGTATCCAAGACGCTTCTTTTTTTAAATCACCGCACCATTGACTGATTAATAGTTGCATTGTTGTATGTAAATGGGGTCATTCCTTTTACACATGAGTATTTTGTAACTCTTTTACTTTGACAAATCGTCTATCAAATGTTTTTATACAACTGCAGGCTTAAGGCAGCTGGAATAAGATGCCCAACCCCCATTATTTTGAGGTTGCATGTGCTGGTTATGGAATTCATAGGTACGATGTGCCAAATGTGCAATTTAAATTCTTGTATTAATTTTTTTTATATACAAAGCTGTTAAAGTAAATAATACAACTATGAGCGTGCTTAAATAATACAACAACAACAACAACAAAGCCTTATCCCACTACGTGGGGTTGGCTACATGGATCAAACGACGCCATTGTGCCCTATCGCGTATCATATCTGCTTTAAGATTGTTCACGTGAAGGTCTCCCTTGATCAATGCTTGCCAAGTCCTCTTAGGTCTACCTCTTCCTCCAACCACATGCATATTCACCATTTGATCAACCCTTCTCACGGGATGCTCTATCGGTCATCTCTCCACATGTCCAAACCACCTAAGACGAGTTTCCACTATTTTTCCTACAATAGGTGTCACTCCAACTTTAGCTCTCATAAATAATACAACGGGATGAATATTCTGGGAGGACTTTAAAAGTAATACTAGACGAATACTCCAGGATACAAACTAATACTCCATCCGTCCCTTAGTTTTTGTCCACTTTCACTTTGGCACACATAGCAAGATGGAAGGCAAAATGACAACAGTAACCCTAAATTATTACCTAACAACCCAGCAGCCTGAATCCCCCCGTCGCCAACCTACCCAGCCCGTTCTCTCATCCACCGCAGGGCCTCACCACCATTGCTGCCGCCAAGCCACCCCAGGTCATTGCCGCACAACTCACCTCGATATTCTTCAACATTTGTCCAACGCCTAGCCCCCAGCTCTGCACAACTAAGTCCTCCACCGCCAACTGTCATGGACTTCCTCTTCCTCGTCGCTTCTGCACAGCCCACCCCAACACCCTCCACCAACCATTCGCCTAACCCACCTTAGTAACAACCTACACAACCCAAATAAAATGCCATCCAATTCGAAATTGGATATAAAAAATGAAAAATGAATGGGATGAGAACACTAGATGACATTCAAACTTCAATCTATCTTAGATCTAGAATTTGAGAGAGTGTTGAAGATGAATCTGATTGCTACCAAGAATCCAAAGTCCTTTTGAGTTTTCTGAATTAGATCTCAAAGGGGGGTTGAAGATGAACCACAGGTTTGAGATCCGTCCAAGGCTTCTGCAGTTTTTAAATTGGAAAAGATAAAAAAATGTACTCCCTCCGTCCATGTATGATCTTCCCATTACGCGTTACGAGGCTTGACCGACTTTATTTTCAATTCAATTTAATTGGTTATAGGAGTAAAATTTTAAAATAAAATTTATATAGTAATAAACTGCAAGAAAAGTTCTACAAAACTAGAGGTGACAAGACTATATTATTTTATGAAATGACTAGTAAAATTGAGCAAACAAAGCGAGTAAAGTTTGACCATGTGAATAGTATCTGGGAAGATCTATGGTGGACAGAGGGAGTATTGACTATTGAGAGAGAGAGAATGATGACGATGACTGAGGAGGGATTGAGTTTGAGTACTCTGTAATAGATAAGGGCATAATAGTCTTTTTATCACATTGTTTTTTTCCATAAAAGGAATGTATACAAATACTCGGGGACGGCCCAAAAAGGAATATTTGGCAAATACTCTGGGGCGGAGGGAGTAATATTCTGCGCACTCCTAGTTTATACAATAACCACAAACATAACAAACATAGTGTAATCCCACAAGTGAGATTTGGGGAGGGTAGGGTGTAAGCAAACTTACTTTAATCTATGCAGAACGAAGAGACTGTTTCCCATAGACCCTCAACTTAAAAGAAAATAAAACCAAAGGAAGCCGTAAAGAGAATAAAATCAAAGGAAGCAAAGTATGCTAAGCTTAATCTTGAGAAACCTTTTTAATCCTCCAATTCATGCACAAGGAAAATGGAATTTCTAATCTTTTATCCTATAAGCTTGTATAACTTAATAATAAACTGAGGATTAGGTTTATGAGAAACCTTTTTACTTCCTCAGTTATTTATTTGCAAAGAAAATGGGATTTCTTATCTTTTAAACCATTTAACTTTATAAATACTCTGTCTTAATTAGTCTTCCTATTTGCTTTTTGCACAGACGTTAGGAGGGGTGATCTGGTGTGATTGAAATATACTCCCTCCATCCCAGAGTATTTGTTCACTTTTGACTTTTTTCAGTCAGAATTGGTAAACTTTAACCACAAATTATATAAAAATGAAATTAGATATTGATACAAAAATAGTTTTATTAGATTTATTATATAAAATATTTTCAAAATATTATTTTATCTAATTAATATACAATAAATATTTTATTTAATTATAGGTCAAATATTGAAAACGGTTGACTCTTGGAAACAGCCTCCCTACTTCCGAGTAGGGGCAAGGTATGCGTACACCCCCCCCCAGACCCTACTGTAGTGGGATTCAACTGGGTTGTTGTTGTTGTTGTTGAAAACGGTTGACTGAAAAAAGTCAAAACTGGACAAATGCTCTGGGACGGAGGAAGTATAATATGAACCACACAATTCTTTTCTTAAAAGGGAAATGAGAAGATTAATTAAGGATATGATATCCCAAAACAAAAGTGTGAATATAAAAAATGGAGGGAGGGGGTTATAATGAACTAAGGATTAGGTTTAGTGACACAAAAATTTAAAAAGAGAAATGGTGCACTAATTAAAATTTATCAACTCAGGAGGAAGTGTTTCTAGCTCAACGTTTTCGAACTAGTGCAATTCAAAAAAGCTAAATTAGTTATGTAAACAATCTCTCTAAATTTCCTCTTTTGACTCATTAAACCTTTCTGCAGGCAAAGGAGGTTGGGCCGCACCTAGACTTAAGGATGCAGATTTGCCGCTTGACAGGTTGCGTGAGGGTTATGTGGAGGTAAGATTTGTACTCTCTACAGGCATGTTAGCCTCTTATCATTATTCTTTTAGGTTCAGTTTGTACCCTCATTCGTTGTGTTTGATATACATTATGATATGAGTTGAGAATGTGGAAAAAGTTGGGGGTCGGCAGATGGAGGTGACCGACTTCCACTGAACTTGGTTTGCTGTTGATTTCTCTACCCCCATTCTAAAACGTAAAGGTTAGGCGGGTATGAGAACCCGGTTGGTTTAGAGGTGATAAACCAATAAAGTATGGGTTTGCAATGGAATTTTTGTTATCCAAAGTCTGACTATGAGTTTATACCAATTTAACCCATACCTGATGAACAGAAAATAGAACCAAGCAGAGCGTAACTCTTAATGGTACATTTCCCAACTTTGTAAAGGATATTCATTAAGACTTGCCTTGAGTAAGAAATTTAGTCACAAATTGCAAGTCTCAACATCTTCAAAATTTTAGTTATGCTCCTTGAGAATTGGTGGTCAAGTTTTCTTTGTGCTAACTTAAATGAGATAAAAGGAAGTGTATGGAATGAAACTAAACACTTATCATGGGCTGATGGGCATCAGTAGTCAAAGATGGAATGTATGGCCGCATTTAAAATTACCATTAATATTATCATTTTGGTGCCTTACCTCTAAAAATAAATTTTTTTTATTTACCTGATGTTACACACTTTTCAGAATCTTCACTAGTATGCTCAATATGTACGATTCAGTAGAATGCTCAATCTTCTACGCGAATGTTCACTATAATGTAATTCTTAGGTAATGCTGTTATCCAAACAATAAGAAGCATGCAGACTTTGAAATCCAGTTACTTTCTTAGGTTTGAAAATGAGCATTGTGATTCTTTTATGTTTATCCCCCTTTTTGGCATCAAAAGAAGTTTTTTAAAATTCCTGCCAGGTAATTATGGTGATGCGGAAACTGTATCAGAACTGCAAATTAGTACACGGCGACCTGAGCGAGTATAACATCCTCTATCTTGAGGTGAACCTATTCATTTTCCCTTTCTTGAATTGTATATTTCAGACTCTGCTTTGCACATGTGGTATGCCGGTATTTCAATAATTTCTCTTTATGTTACAGGGTCACTTGTATATAATTGATGTTTCACAAGCAGTTGATCTCGACCATCCACACGCTCTTGATTTCCTAAGGGAAGATTGTGTTCATGTGTCTGTGAGTTCTTCCTTCAACTGTTGCAATTATGCCCACAATGCTCCTGATTGTCTATATATGCAATTGGTGATATATGAGCGGTTACAAAGACTTTATGCTTGTTGTATGCAGGATTTCTTCAGAAAACATGGGGTAGCTGTCATGACAATTAGAGAGTTGTTTGATTTTATTGTTGATCCTACCATTGGTGATGATAATGTGGATGCTTACTTGGATGAGGTATCAAGTTTAGATGTTATTAGTTATTACTTATTTTACATGTTTTCTATTTTCATATTTTGGCGGCATCTGAACCTAATTGATATTTTATAGACATCATTACTAGTGTCCTTCATAAAAATATGGTTCAGGTTCAACACAAGATTTTGTCAAGAGGTGAAGTGACTGCAGAGGATGAGATTGCAGACTCCGTATTCATTCAGGTTGTATATGAATATTCTGGTGTGGGCCACTTTTCATGCATGTAAGCTTAATTGTTTCAGGGTAGTTTGACTTGTTTCTACAAATAGACAAACGTTTCAATAATACCCCCCCCCTCCCGGTCCCATAAAAAGAGTCATTTTTTGACAAAGTTACATCTTTTTAGTTTTAGTAAAGAACAGCTATAGATCTAAAATTTATCTGTTAACCCGACTAAGTTTAATGCACCCAACTTGTTTTGGTTTTAAAAAATAATACACATTAAGTATACTACGTATTACATAAAGTGGTGATGTTAATATGAGGTTTCTCGGACCCCACTTCGGAGTGGGATATACTGAGTATATTCAGTTAGTTAACAGTGATATAATCAAATCTCAGAGTAAGTTCAGACTTGACTGATTTTGGGTATTTGTTGAAAGTTCCAAGAAGTCATAAATTCTGCTAATACATTTACTGAGGAAGGAGAAGGCCTTTTGAAGGACACTGTTTGGGACCAAAAGGCTCAGTTCCTACTTCAGGAAAAGATACAAAAACTATTCATAAAATTTTACGTTCCCATTAAACTATATGACAGGTGTTTACTATAATTAAATACGAAAAACGGCTTTTGTAGTATTGAAATAAACAAAACAATTGCACCAAATATGATTTGAACCCATACCAAAGGTTAGTACTTGTTGAACCGAGGAGCTCTAGTAGCTATCCGACCTCTCCTCTCCTCTCTGAATATTAACCCTACTGTTACTCTGCAGTCATACATTCCAAAGAGACTGGACAATGTGAAAAATGCAGAGGCAGATGTACATCGTATTGTCAGTGGTGAGGACACCAGGGATTTATACTACAAAACCATAACCGGGCTCAAGCAAGCAATCTCTGAGGCAGAAAAGCAGCACTCTGAGAGATCAACAAAAGATGATCACGACAGCAAGTTGCTTGACAAAAACTCACACGAGTTTGAAAGTGACGATGAAAGTGGAGCCGATTCCAGTGATTCTGAAGAAGGAGAAAGCAGTTCATTGTCGTCTGACAGTGGTGATACTAAACCTACAGCAGTGGATAGGAAAGCTGCTAGGAAGGAGAACAAGAAGAAGGTCAAGGAAGAGAAGCGGGAAGCTCGTAAACATAAAGTGCCAAAAGCTGTGAAGAAGAAGAAGAAAAAGTTGGCCAAGGCAAAGAAGAACCGCTAGAAAACGCGCACTAATCCCACATTGCAGGATGATCATGTCCAAGAGAGAAATTTTGTAGAGAAACTTTGTGTTGTGCCAACAAGATGTGTTACCTTTATTCGAGCAGTGACACTTCCTCTCATTTGTTGTATGCATGATTCCGTTGCTACCCTTTCTTTGGTGAATTGCGATTATAGCTCACTAAATTTTGTTGAGTTTATACCTAGAGTTCATCATCCACCACATTTTCCCTTTTCTTTTCAAGTTCTATCTTTAAATATGTGAACTAGTTTGTGATACCCATTGTGTTTTCAAGGGTGTTTTGTGCTAATACTTTACTTTCATTTGAGCAGTCCTAAATATACTTAGGCTCCGTTTGGTGTATGGAATTCAAATTGTGGAATTAGAATTGAGGATAACAATTTTAATTCTGCTGTTTGATAGCACAAAAATATGTAGATTTGGAATTGGTAGTGCTAAAAATCAATTGGAATTGGAGAATTCAATTCCATCGAAATCAAATCTAGAGAGTTTTAACTCTCAATTCAAATCTAATTCTGTCATTTTCCTTGTGTTCCAAACAGACCCCTATGGTATGTTTGGGAACTCGAATTTGGATTTCAAATCCAAATTTAATCCAAATTATTTGTTTGAGAACTCAAAGAATTTGGATTTGGATTTGAACTAAATTCTACTAATTCAAAACTCACTCAATTACAAATCCACACACCTCTTCATGTCATTTACACAAATGTGAAAATTGCAGTATTGCACTGGATAGGATTAAAACATAAGTTATTTCCCAAAATAGGACTTAAATTTTTTTATTCCCTAAATAGGACTTAATAATGACTAGTCAGAATAATGTCCAAGTAATGTTGGATATTTAGTTGAATAATGATTAATAGATAATGACCAATGATCTTACATTGGGAAATAAAAACATATGGTCCTATATTGAGAAAGTCATTATGTTTTATTCTTATTTAGGTAAATTACTCTTTACAAATTTAAACTCAACTTTTCTTTAATTTAAAACTTGTAATTAAAAATTGATTTTCCGTTATGTAATAATAATTCCATACATATCAATCTGCTTCTGTTATCGTCTTTGCTAATTTCAAAATTCAAATTCTAGAAGGCTATGTTTGGTATACGAAATTCAAACTATGAAATTGCAATTGAGGACAATTATTCCAATTCTGCTTACAAAAAAATGTAGATTTTGAAATTGGTAGTGTTAAAAACGAATTGGAATTGGAGAATTCAATTCCACCTAACTCAATTCCATAGAATTTCAATTTCTAATTCTATCCATTCCGTGTACCAAATGGACCCGAATTGAAATTCTATGATTTTTCAAACAACATTTGAAATTTGAAATAATGGAATTTCAAATATCGGAATTGAAATCTTAGATTTCAAATGAATTCAAGTTCTCAAACCCTACGCATTCTTATTTACATTAGATACAACATAGTGACGAGTATTAGCAGAATATGAAGATGCTTATGGATGACCCAAACAATAGGCAGTGTAAATTAGGGAGTACTAAATTGGGATAAAATGAAATACTAGTATTCTATACTTGTACATAGTAATTCTGGTGTATTCAACTCACCATCTCTTCTTCTTTCTAGGTTGTTTGGGCCATCGATAAGTATCTTCATACCCTACTCATCAAATAATTTGCTTAAAATTAGAAATAATAATTACAACAATTTAATACAAATATAAATTCAATTACATCGAAATTACTAAATAAAACTTCTTTTTTCAAAAAAATAAAAGAAAAAATAAAATATATAATTAAATATGGAGTAATAAAATAGTGATATTAATTCTATTAATCATAATTCAGTATTAAAATTAATTAGTGATTAAATTAAAATTAGTGATTATATTAAATATATTATTTATTTATTATAATATAAATATTATCATAATTTCAAATATGAAACCAAAGAAATGGTGGGACCATTTGTTATCATGGAAAATGTCCAAAGGTTCAAATATATTATCCTTCTCTCTCCATCCAACACATCATTTCTAATAGTTTGAGAAATGCTAGGAGTACACCAAAAGTTGTACCCTAAATGTACACCACCCCCTTTTTTACCACACATTTTTATTTGATTTTTATTTACTTTTTTTTAAAAATTTTTTTGCCTTTTTAATGGACAAGGAGGGGGTGGGGACATATGGGGTACACCTTTGGTGTACCCCTAGCATTTTTCTAATAGTTTAAAGAGCAATGCTAGGGGTAGACCAAAGATGTACCCCAAATGTACATCACTCCCTTCTTAACCACCCTTTTTTATTTTATGGATTAATCTATGTGTACCCGAATATTTATACCCCACTTTGTACCCCACAGATTTGCACCTACACTTTGTGTTGGTATAAAACTAATTTTTGTTAACGCACCAACACTTTGTGTCCGTGTAAATTTTTGTTAACGTACCAACACTTGTGTCGGTGTAAATTATCAAAATGTTTGTGCATAACTGTGGTGTACAAAATGAGGTATACTTTTTGGTGTAAGTGTAGCATGGTTCTTATTTTATTTTTATTTTTTTGACTTTCTTTTCTTTTTTATGCGGACAAGGAGGGGATGGGGGACACATTAAATGGGGTACATCATTTTTGTGTAGCATTTTTCTAGTTTAAATATTTGTATGTATCTATTCAAATTGTTAAATTATACTCCCTCCGTCCCTAAATAAAGTTCCTCTTTCGTTTTTTCTTTGTCCCTAAATAAACTTCTCTTTTCTCTCAAAAAACCCCTTTTACCCCTTACTTTTTCATACCCTACCTATCACACCATACCTTTTTACTAATAATCTACCTATCACATCTTACTTTAACACATCTCATCAAGGGTAATTTTGGAAAGTCAACACCAAAATATCCCTCCCTTAAATCCTCAAAAAGTCAAAAATAGAACTTTATTTAGGGACGGAAAGAGTAGTTCAATGAGACCAATGGAAGTGCTCTATGTGTAATACGTTAAATATAAGTCATATAACCTCTATCCAAGTATATTTATCTAGTTTGATTTTTTAAAATCAAACTAAACAAACTTTAAAATTCAACTACTTTTGATTTATATTTCATATTAGTACAATAAAATGTAATTTTAAATGTTCTCAACAAGATAAATACGAGTATAATAAAATTAGTTTTATACAAATATACATTACAATTTTCTCAAAATTCTTCTAATTTCATTCAAAAAAATCAAACCGAACAACTATATTTCGACGGATTTAAGTTTTGAAATAGGTGCTCCCTATTTTTTTTATAGACAGACAAATAAAAAAATGTGAAACGTTTTTCCATTACCAATTCTTTTACTCGTATTAGGACTCAGCCCAAATAGTTTGATAATGGACAATGGTCATTGCCAGACCAAAGAACTCATTTTCTTCTCGCCCTAAAGCAGAGTTTCATTAATGGTTCCCTCCCATTCTCCGCCCGCGTTTTGACGCCTTCTTTAAATCGGCTCTCCAGCAATTTATCATTCAAACTCTTACCAGGTGTTTATCTATGGTTTCATCAATGGAACTCTTAGATTTAGGTTATAAAGCTTATAATCTATATGGTATTCTGTTATTCAAGCAATTTGTCCAGGTTTTTAGCATAAATGGAAAAAATTATTTGCTGTAATCATTCATTTCAAATGAATGCTTTGATGGGGAATATGTTTCGCATAAGAAAAAAAACACATTTTACAAAATCATAAAGTACTTGGAAAATACAGTGTTTTGTCAATTCTTTGCAAAACTCAAAAGAGAAAATCTCCATCCATTTAACTGAATGTATTTTTAATTTTTTTGTTAACTTAAAAAACACAAATTGATCAGTTACTCATCTTGTGAATGATTTTTAGTTGTGGATGTTAATGTTGTTGCTTCAAATGTTTATCAGACATTGATCTTCTCTTTTTGTGCTTGATCAGAATCAAATGGCGAATAGCAGAAAAAAGGTTGCAGAAGACCAAAGCTTAAAAGATAGAATCAGTGGTCTGCCACACAATGTTATTGATTGTATTCTGACCCACTTGCCTATTCAATATGCTGCAAGAACTAGTGTTTTATCAAGAAAATGGAGGTACATCTGGGCCACATGCTCAGAGATTGTGCTTGATAAAGACTTTTACATCTTCATAGACAGAAGGAGATCTTATTTGCACACGGTGCAATTTGCAGAAGTTGTGATTCTAATTCTCTTGCAACATCTTGGGCCCGTTCGGAAGTTTTATATTGAGGCTTCACTATCGGATATACATTTCATGAATCTGGATCAATGGGTTCTGTTTGTGTCTAGGAATGGTGTGGAGGAACTGACACTTAGGCCATCTTCTATAGGTTATAAATTGCCTTCTCACATTTTTGAATGTCAGCATCTAACACGATTGAGCATTCATAGAAGTTCCTGGGCACCACCTCCTGGTTTTGGAGGCTTTAACCACTTGACTAGCCTCACTTTGTCTTCGTTGAGTCTCTCCCTAAACAAAGAAAGTGACGTGCTTAACACTCCAAATCTTATTTATTTGGAATTTACAAATTGTTTTTTTCGTGTCAATGACCTAAAAGTCCATGCTCCTCTACTCCAAACCTTAATCATTGATAGTCGCCATAAGGTTGAACTGAGCTCTTTTCTGGTCTTCCATGACCTGAAAAATGTTAAAGTTGTTTCTAAACAAGAACGGGATGTTACACTGTCTGGAAATTACTCCCTTCAAGACATTATTCCAGATCTTATCAGCAGTTGGCCAGGAGTTGTTCAGCTCCAGCTAAATGGGTATCTACGCCAGGTGAACAATTTTAAAGTTTTCCAAATTTCTCTTTGTTGATCGACTTAATTTCATAACTGAATGAAGTTTGTGTTTTCTTGTATATTTCGAAGAATATGGATGTTCTCAATAAGAGTTTAAGATGGTCATCCTTCGCACCTGATGACGACCATTCGAAGCCGATATATATTACCTACCTTTTGACCTCGCTCTCCTTGCTGAATGTGAATTTGAACAATAAGTGGCAGATATCGCAGGCCATGTGGTTGCTTGCAAATAGTACCAGTCTGAAATTCGCAACAATTGCTACAAAGGTGATGTGTCTACAGCAAATCTAATAGAGTATCAGATACACACTCACACGAATTGCTGATACAACTTTTTTCTTGGGTTAAATATGTTTTTAGTCCTGTAAAACTGTTTTTTGTTAACTCATCATGGTCCTTAAATGTAGTTAGCACATCTAATTTATTGACATAACACATTTATTTTGCACTCAACATTCTAATTTTGCATTTCCGATGGCCTCAAACACAATTTTCATTACTTTGAATTACATCCCCAATTTTAAATTTTATTATACTACATTTCAAAAAAGTTTGGGAGTTGGAGGTGTAATATGAATAAAGACACAATTTAGGGTATGTGAAGTGTGTGAGACGTAGTAGAAATGCAAGACTAGGATTTAGTACAAAATAAATGTGTTATCTCAACATATTAGAAGTGCATATTATGTTTAAGGACCATTTTCAAAATAAAGATTTTTGTAAGGATGACTTGACAAAATGATAATTTACTGGGACCAAAAACAAAAGTTGCTTATTTTACACGGACCAAAAACAAAAGTCGCTTATTTTACAGGGACCAAAAACATATTTAACCTTTTTTCTTTTTTTCTTTTCATAGGCATCAGTCCCAAATCACTCTGCAGTGGAGGACAATGCGATAAATTTGGAATTGCCAGTGGCGGTGAACACGATGGGAATGTCCAGTCTAGAAGTTTTGGAGATAACAGAGATTTCGGGGTCAAGAGCCGAAATGTTTTTTCTCAAGGAGGTACTCGCTTCAGCCTCGTCCCTGCGTGAAGTTTCTATAGGGATTGCAAAATGCGACGCCACAGTGGAGCTGAGGATTTCAAAGGAACTATTGCAGTTTCCTCGAGCATCCACAAAAGCTGAAGTGAAACTGTTTGGCGTGGCCGACAACCCCTCAAGTACAATTCGCTTTCCCTAGTAGAGTCATGACTGGTTTTGGGTTGCCTTGAACTGGACATCTTTTTGCCTTGATATATAACAAGTTTTTGGGAATCACACTCTTGCCTAGTATATTCATGGCTGGTTTTTTATTGCCTTGAATTGGACATCTTTTAAGTTTTGGTTGACTATATACATTGACCTATACCAAGATCTTTGGAGTCACATGCTTGCCCAGAGTTATATATACAGTATGTGTTATATACATTGATCCTAACCTTTTTATACCCACAAGAAAACAATTGAAATACTATAAAATTACTGCATCAAAAGTAAAGAGGGTAGGCCTTTAAGTTGAAAGTCGTCATGTATTATTATTGGTTTTGTTATGATGTCCCCTTAGGCAGCTTATGCTAAGACATGGTTTTTTTGTACTGATGAGTTATGTGCATAAATAGTCCATGTGGTCTTTTATAAGTGGGTTAATACTTTTTGAACTTTTAAAAGTTACGAGTACAAAATAGTCTTTGTGGTCAGAGAACCATTGCAAAATCATGTAACAATAGTGTGATTTCAGTTGTGATGTGTCATAGTAAAATATCTTTCATCTTTTAGTTTAACTCTCACAACTATTTCTTCATATCTTCAATAGTGTTATTCTATAGAATCGTTTAACAATGTTCTATGTGAGCTCAAAATTATTTTACTTTTAAAGTGGTTTTATTCTAGGGTAATACTACGTAATAGTATGTGATAAGAGCTAGAAAAAAACCATTCCTTAGCTTTAACCACAAAGATGAAGGTATTTTCATTGGATTCACTTTTTTTTGTTACATGCTTTACATTTTCCACACAATAGGCATGTCTTCTTCGTGTATCACATTTTTCTTAAAAGACTATTTATGCATTAGTTCTTTAATCACATAGACTATTTTAGAACCTTTAAAAGTATAAAGACTAGGTATCTACTTATGGAAGACCACGGTAACTATTTATGTATATAACTCTTAAATTATATAGTAATTGGTAATGCTGTCATGTGTAATTGGTCATTCTTTAGTACTCCCTCCCTCTTACAAAGAACGTCACACTTTTTTTTGGTTGTTCTAAAATAAAACGATATGTATGGAGTATATCCTCATAAAGAAGGGATATAAAGGTCACAATATTTCTTAACCAAACACTCCATCAGACCAAGTAAACATTTTATCATAGTTGAACATGGCAATGGGTTATTTGTTAGCGTTTTGAAAATGATGTCTATTCTAGTATTTTCAAAATTAATCTACACCATTAACATTTTATGTTAAATGCAAAAATTAATTGAAAACGTGATTTCCAAACGAGCCATTATGCATTTGGCCACACAAGTGATTTCCAAACATGATTTCCAAACGAGCCATTATGCATCTATGTGGTGTGGATTTGGGTACTTGTATGCATTCAACAAGGGCAACTACAAAACTACACAAATGCTGTCTAACCTTTCCTCACTGAAGAGAACAAGCCGAAAAGGTTAGCTTAGCTTTTGTATTAAACCAGTTTGTTCCAGAATCCTTTCCACACTCTCCTATTTTTCAAGAATTTTCTTGTACTATTCATGTGGATGAAAAATCGTTTGAAATGTCCAAACAATCATTGAGAGCGTATAAAACTAAAAGGGAGAGAGCCCCATAAGACAGCTAAAAGTAAAGCTCACATTTCCAAACTGATGCACTTATGTGCAGTAGGGAGGCCTATCTTTGGTCATGAAGGGGCGATAATTTGGAATGGGAAAGTAGGCATTTGGCTTCTAACAATTCAAGTTCCTGCACAAAGGAGGAGTAAGAATAGGGCAGCAGGAACTTTAGAGACCAAACCCATACCTAAAATCATAAAAGAGGTGTGCAGAAGACTGATGATTCAGCAAGTACTGCCAGCAATAAAAGATAAAGTACCAGAAGCAATCACAAAACACATCATCATACAATAGGATAATGCCAAACCACATATTGATGTTAATGACCCAGAGTTTGTGCAAGAAGCCAATGTTGATGGTTACAACATTGAGCTTACTTGTCAACCACCAAACTCACCAGACCTAAATATTTTAGACCTGGGGTTCTTTGCATCAATACAGTCCTTACGACATCAGACATGAACCAAAAAAGTGGATGAGTTGGTGCACATGTGGCTGAGGCAAATGCCAATTTAGAAGCTAAGAAATTCAACAATGTTTGGATTAGTTACCAGTTAGCAATGCAGAGATCATGAAGGTACAAGGAGGAAATAATTACAAGTTGTCACATATTGACAAGACAAGACTAGAAAGGGAAGGTGCACTGCCTAACCAACTTCAGGTAAGCACAGAACTATACGAGGCCAGTGTGTGTGCTTTACAAGGTGTCCCAACAAGACATGGGGAAGAGAGTGCATCAGAAAAAGTGTAATTATTCTCATCATTTTGTTTTTTGTTTTTTGAAATGTGCTCATCATATGCACTACTGGTTTCTTTTGTCAAAAGTGTGTATGGCCAGTATTGTAAGCAAACACTTTTTTTGGATGAATGTATGTTTGTTCATAGTCTTAAAACCTCCAAACACATTAGATATAGTGGGAGGCCACAGAATGTTACCTCTTACACTAATCTGAAGTGAGTGGCTTTAAGGACACTGGTTAGGGTTCCATAACACACATAGAAACATCACAAATACTAGCATACTCACCATAAGCAAATTACAAATAGCACGCAGGCATATAGTCATATGGCAAAATTCAGTGCAAATTGTCATCATTAGTTTCCCAGCAAGTAGACTAATGCACATAAAGAGACACATAATTGAAATATTACACTCACATAAGAAGAGAGGAATACTCCCCTAGAAGTCTTTGTAGCGTCCCTTTGGTTCTGAGATAAAGTATTCCCACAGAACATCATCCTCTTCTTCGTATTAGTATGACTCAGATTGGGTGTCATCATCGTCCTCATCCTCTTTCTTCTTTTCCTCTTTACGATCATCCTCTTTAGGCTCATCTTCTTTGGGCTCTTCCTCTTTAGGCTCATGCTCTTTGGGCTTGTAATAGGCAGCAAGCGTTTTCCCTCAACATTTTCATCTACTTTTCAATATGAATCTCATCAAAAACATATTCACAAGCTCTGATTTGTATGAATCCGAAGTAGTAAGGGCAAATGAGAAATCCATTTCATCATCTGTTCCATCCATCTATGCAAATTACAGAAAAAACAAATGGAAAAGATTAATTACATTGTTTAAATAAGATTGATATACGGAAATGTGAAAAAAAACTAACATTAGATCTCAGAAGGGGTGGGGTGTCCCCTATATCTGAATCGCAAATACAAAAAAGAAAATATCCTAGATTCAAATTCCAGAAAAACAAAAATAGATGAAAGGACAGATGAGAACGATGAAAGGTTAGAAGACGAGAAGGATGAAAGAGCAGATCTGTGAGAGAGGAAAGCGATAAAAGAGGAGAGACGCAGAGAAGATGAAAGAGGAACGATGAGGATAACGTCTGGCGGAGAAAGGAAGAGAATGATAAGATTGAGAATGAATGGAGAGAAGATGAATCGGTGGGTGGGAGTAAGAAAGGGTGGGTAGGAGTAATTAATTACATAGGAGGGTATTTTGGAAAGTGCAAATAAATTAACTTTCCAAATAAGGAAACAAGCATATCATTTTGGGACAGATGAAAAAGGAAAACAGACGTTATAATTTGGGACGGAGGGAGTATTTAATCTCGTGATTCAGACATACTCATACATATTCTAAAATTTCTTAACATTTAGATAAAATTATATTTTGAATTAGAATATAATTATATAATTTAAATTTTAATAAAAAAAACTTTGTATATAGGATGGCTTATACAAATGTTTTTTAACTATTAGATATTAGGGGTGGACACGGTACCGGTACGGTACCGTCACCGGCAACGGTACCGCCGGTACCCGCCACCGTCACCGGCAAGGTCGCCGTGTCACCGGTTCCGGGAACCGGTACCAGTACCGCCACTTTCGGTACCGGTTCCGGTACCTATTTTTTGGTACCGGTACCGGCGGTACTGGTCCGGTTCCGGTATTTTTTTTTATTTGAAATGCAAAAAAGTTAAAAAAAAAAGTGGGGGGCGAAGCAATTGCATTCTTTCCTTAAACAATTGCAATTTTACAATTGCAATTTTTTATAATTTAAAAATTAAAAAAAAAATAGGGGGGTGCGAAACCGGCCGGTTCGGTACCGGAACCGCCGGTCCGGGAACCGGAACCGGTACCGGCCGGCACGGTATACTATCCGGTTACTCGGGGTGGCGGTTCCGGAACCGGAACCGTCCCGGAACCGTACCGTGTCCACCCCTATTAGATATGATGGCTTTTTGAAATAAAATTTGTTTAATAAGGATGCACGGCACATTTATTAGTGGAGTAAGGTTTATATAAATGTATCTTTTTGAAAAAGTAATGAAGGAAAAAGTGGATAGTTTAAAAAAAATTATATATTATGTTGTTATATAATTTAATAAAGTTTTAACATTTTTAAATAATATTATCCTCACATAATTATGCATCATAAGGTGTATTTAATTGATAAGATGCATTTAAGTCTTGTTTGAAGACCACATTTTCGATTAGCATTAACATTTTGAAAAATATTTCTAAAACACTGGTTCGTGATTTCTTATGTACAGAGACATTTTCTATACTTCATATACACTCCATAAGTTATAAGGTCGTTGTACTAATGTTATTGAGTGTATAATCGTTCTATTAATCTACCCAGCCTCATATTTTCATATCCAGTCATGCTTAGAGTACCCTGTTTTTTGCCTCAAGTTTGACACCATTGGCACTTGCAACTGTTATGTGCCTAAAAATGTGTGTAAAAAGAAGTGTCAAAATTGGGGTCAAAATAAGATATCCCATGTTTAAATCATTCATATTTGTATTTTGTACCTCGTTTTGTACACCAAAGGCATCACGAGCATTTTGTGCTGGTGTGATGTTTGTGATGATTTAAATTGGAATAAATGGCATTGCAATTTTTTTCAATTGAACTAACATTTTCTGTCCGTGTGAACCGTTAAAATGTCGGTGCATTTATTTGGAATATAGCTTGAAATATACTTTTGGTGTACCCTTAACATGGTTGTTCATATTTTGAAAAAAAAGAGCACTTCTTGTAAAGGTCAAGAATAGCCCAAAATCCTCATCCAAAAATGATGTTGACAGGTTTAGGGAAATATCCTAAAACCAAGTGATAAAATCCTAAAACCCATTTGTATGATGAAGTGATAGACATGTGCCTATGTGGTTTGCTTTAACGTGAAGCTAATAGACACTTCGGTCAGACTTGCCATATAAGCGCCCATATATGAAGTCCATATTCAAATCCCCATCACCCACCCTTCCCCTTCTTTTCCATTTGGTATCCCCAACCAAACACATCCTTGAGTAAAGAAATTTGTGGTTAATATTCCTCAACCACACACAAAGCGGAATGGGAGGCGGAGAGAGTAATAAAAATGTAAGAATTGATTTAAACAAGTGCACTAGAGGGTTGAAGAAGACCATATACCACATTGCATCATGCATAAGAAAACATATGAAGAATATACTTTCTATACGATAGTGCGTAAGTTTGTAAATGTACAAAGAAAGTTCTCATAGCGAGTAAGTTGGTAAACATACGAAGAATATACTTTATATACGATTGTGAGTAAGTTGGTAAACGTGCCAAGAAAGTTCTTATATACGATAGCAAGTTCGTAAACATACGAAGAATATACTTATATTTTACTTCAAAATAAGAGGATTCTTTGTTCAACTAGAAGATCCAAAAAGGGCCAAAAATCCACAAGCATCAACAGTTGCATGACAATTGAACAAGAGATCACTCTGCATTTATTATCTTGACTTGAGTGAGGAATGTCCACTCTCTCCCAAATGATTGTGCAATTTATTCCTGTTGCGCAGGGAGACAAATAGACAATATAGTGAAAGAGAACATAATAACACCGGTATCCAAACAAGGATATATAGACCCAACCACAAGAGGAAAGGCAGTTGTATCTATAATCATATTGCTCCAATGTTATATTTTCAGATGTATTGAACTTACAAAGCACTTAGCACACTGTTTTTTATTAAAAACATCTGATGAGGTGAAATTTAACATCTTTTATCCTAAGTTAGGTTTTTTGTGGTAGAAAAATATGTTGGCAAAGTTATGTGACTAATTGTATCAATATTGGTTTGTGAAATACTATCTATGTCCCATGCAAAGGGTCTTGTTTGACAAAGGTCTCTTTCGGAAACAACGTTTTCAATCAGCGCTATTTAACAGATCAAATTGAGTTTGAAAATGTTAAAGTTAAACGTTGCCATTAGAAAGCCTTTTCAAAAGGCCTAAGTTATTGACAAACAAGATATGACTTTCAAGTTTTATTAAAGCACCACCATTGCAAATCATTATTAACTGAATGTAACAAACAACAGTTGTTTGGACTTCATGTTTGGTGAAACTTTTTTCTAAAACAAGACTTTTCATGGGATAGAGGGAGTAATATATTCTGTAATATAGACATTTTTTGTAGTTTACTAGTTCATATACTAAACTATTAAAAGCATTGCGTATATACTACTCCCTGTCTCTCAACATCTTGAGCCTTTACAAAAAAATTGTTTACAACTCTGACCATTAATTCATTCAACATACATTCTAAAAAAACTACGAAATTTCCAAACTACAAAACATTTCATTTAAAAGGTAACAAGATAAAAATTATATCAAATTTTAACTTTGTTAAGAAAAATTAATGGTCAAAATTTGGCACAACTTTCCATAAAGTATGATCTTGAGACAAAGGGATAAATAGTCTAGAGTGGTGATCTGGTTCACATATGAATCAACTTTAAGAGCACAAAGGGGTGCGATGTCATGAGTTTGAATAAGATATGAAAAATAAAATATGTGTAGATACAAACACACAGACAGAACGCTCTAGACTGAAAACCACGCTTCAAACGTATAGGGTAATTCTATGTTGAAGGCCACATGCATTTTTATATATGCACCACTGAGATTGATGTGGTAAAAATTGCGGGGAATGGTAATTTAAAGGCGGTAAAAATTATTTTTTTATAAGAAAATTGTTTACAAGATATCTAGTGTACAAACCTGGATTCAAATTCTTCCCCACATTTTTCACATGCACTGACAGAACGCTTTGATGTTGCCTATGTAAAACAAAAAAGAAATGCAATCACAAAATTAGTCCAAAGGTTCTGAGTCCAGCAGCACAGAAACAGGAAACACTGAAACACCACTTTAAACAACTAGTCCTGTTTCAGAGTATTCGTCCCATATTTTTTTTGGGCCATCCAAGAGTATTCATCTACTCTCCTTTAAGTCAAACACAACTGAATCAAAAGCCTATTACACTCCATTTAATCAACTGCCACCACCCATAACCATGAATAATACTCAATAAAGTGATTTTAGGTTTCAGCGCCTTTATAACATTGGCAAAGAGGAGCTGTGCGGCAGCCTGTTTTGTGTTTCAGAATCTTTTGGAAATGTGCACCCAAGAACACAATCAATTTGAGTTACCAGACAACTGATTTGGGTTTTTCTAGGGTTTTGACCAACAAGCAGTGTGGGGAATTTTAAGGTTTTGATTAGGTGGTCAGGTTCTGAGGATTTGGGGAATTTCAAGGTTTTGATTAGGTGGTCAGGTTCTGAGGCTTTGGTGTTGCTTAGTGTGACCTTCACAGGAGACGGAGAAGACTAATCTTTGAGGTTTATGGCGGCAGAACTACGAAGGTGATAAAAAAGACACTGGACAGAACAAATGGCAGCCAGATTTGCGGTGAAAGCAATTGTAGCGGTGAAGGAATTAAAAAGAGCCAGGCAACCGTCATCATCAGCTCATCGAGGGATTCCATCAGGTTATGGAAATGGGATTTTGGCCATCTATAAAGTTCATTTAGATAGGGTCTTTGTGACCTTTCTTCTCCTCATTTTTCTCACCATGGTCTATGTGCCAAAAACACAGGACAAATACTCCAAGACAGGAGTACATGAATAAAGCACGGGAAAATGATGCCGTACAAATATTTAACATTAATTTTAGATTTAAAAAAATCTCATGAACTCAAAATTTAAACAATCTGCACATCAATACTCAAAACTTGTACTTAAAGAAGTATGATTTTCAACAACTCATAAAATCCTGAATACTTCCCCTAATGAAAACTATTTGGGAGTATTTTGGCAGTCTATACCTTAAAAAGATATTGGTGGGTTTCAAAGTCCTAGAAATCTAAAGCCTCTCTAAAAGACAGCATATACCTTTTCTCTACAAGTAAATATGGGAGATGAGTAAGACTATAAAATGCAAGCAGCATGGAAAGTGGATTTAAATTTCAATCATAATAAAAGTAGTAAAATGAAGCATTATCTTGAAAAGGAAAAATAAAGAATGTATACCTTCTCTTTCCTCCCTTTCGAAGCATTCTTTGGTTTATTATTATTATTATTATTATCCTTCTTCTTGTCAGCCTTTTTGCCAATAGCTGCTTGCCTCGGAATTTCTTCAACCTTTTGTAATGAATCATCTTCATGGCCATCCGCCTTGGTTTTGGTTGAAACCTGCAATGATGGATCCTGGGTATCTACATTCTCATCATATACAGTACATTTTGGTTTGACATCATTATCTGCACTTCCATCATTATCCCTGTGTTCATCGTTTACAGTATGTTTCGCCACTTGGCCACTAGATTCAACCTCATCAGTTTCATTATTAACGCTCATTCCAGCTTTGGCTCTCCTGTTCCGCCGGTTTAGAGTGCCCCTTTTCCTCCCACTGAACTGACTATAATTATACTCCATAAAGTTCAAGTCATTGTCATCATTCTTCATCTTAGAATGGTGACTGAAAACCATATGTTGCCTACTTCTATGGCCAGACACCATAGCTTCAAGAATACTAGCTTCATCACCATCATCCGAATCAGGAACATCACTTGTACATCCAGATTTACCAGTAGGAGGTCCAGATTCTTGACCATTACTATGTCCTTGAAATCCAAAACTAGCCTCAAATTGCTCCCTTAACTCATCCACAGCATCATCTGTAGCTGAAAAATAACCACTTTCCTCTGACTCGGGTGTCTTTAGCTCCTCTTCCTTTCTTCTTTCATTGACATCTAATTCTTCAAGCACTTTGTCCTCATCACTTAAGGCTTCTCTTAACACTGCAATTTTCTCTTTATGCTTCTTAGACTGCTCGTGATTCTTCCATTGTTTCTCACTCTTGAACTTTTTCCCACATGCTATGCAATATAACTCCTCGTTCTTATCATCAGCATCTTTGTCCAATGTTTCTTCATCCTCCACATTGTCAACCTGAGTCCAGTCAGGCTCCTTATACATTTTTGCCTTCTCTGCTTTAAGCTTCTCTAACTCCTTCTTTCTAGCTTGCCCTTCCCGCTTCTTCTTCTCCATCTCCTCAATCCTCTTTGCCTGCATTTGAATCACCCTCTTGTCTCTCTTCTTCACAAACTCAGCTAACCCTCTAACAGTTTCATTGTATTCTCTTCGGGCCTTTTTCCTCAACTTTGTATTTTCATCCTCCATCTCTCTCCTAAACTTCCTAATCATTTCTGGCACTACAACATTCCGATCGGCCCAGCAGAAATCCATCACTGAAGCAAACCCCAACCAATAATTGTAGAATGCTGTCACCTGCATCAAAACAAGGCAGATTATTCTCCCTATTTGTTGGGGGTCACACAAATGCAAAATTGTGGAATAGCAGATCCATAACCAAACTCCAATCAAGAACTTCATCTAGATCATGATTGCCTGATATGGGAAGCACTTAACACAAACACGGACTAATAATTAAATTCAAGAAATTCACTTTAATGGCACATAGTATGATGAAAAACCCTGCAACAACAGCAATATAACAAACAGGACGACATGTCCAGGAAAAGCTACGGAAAACATACTATTGACAAGAAAACCATGTCATCTATTTGAGGTAATGCTGTTTCAGTAAATGATGATTGCATACCTGAGCATAAGGACTATCCATATTTCCCATAAGTGGGGCTTCTTTGGGAGAGCGAAGACCAGACTTCTTCGCGAAATTCAGTTCATGGCGATAAACTTGATCAAAAACGTCAGCATAAACTTTGTAAAATCCCTTTCCAGTGTCCGAAAATCCAGAGTAGACAGAATTGGAGAAGAAAGAGAAGAGGTTGGGGACGGGATCGTACTTAGAAGAACTGTTGGAGCCATTACTGGATCCCGAGTACAAGATCTTATCGCGATTAGAATCGTACCAGGAGCGCTCGCGTGGGTCAGAGAGGACTTCGTAAGCGTTCAAAAGCTCCTGGAACGCTGCCGTTGCTTCGGGTTCGGGGACGCCGGTTTGGATCAGCTTATCCGGGTGGCGCTGCAAGGCTAGTTTCCGGTAGGCGGAGCGGATTTCGGCCGCGGTGCAGACTTGGCTCACGCCGAGAACCTCGTAGAGGCACCGCTTGGCTTGCGGCGGCGGCGGCGGCGGCGCCATTGTGAGCGATTGCTGCTCGATCGGCTATGGCCCTAATGGGCTATGATATTAGGGTTTTAAATCGGGAGAAAAACGGAAACACAATTTCTAATTTCCGAAGTATTATTTCCAAATCGAAAACGGAACCCGATTTCGGAAATAGCCAAATACGGAGTAGGAAACTAGGACTAGGTTCGGTTTTTTTGAAGAGGCTAGGTTTGGTTTAAATTTTTACACTATTTTCCATTAAAGTCTTTTTTGTGCATGAAGTTGACTAAATTTAAATTAAATTGAAAGTTGAAATTTAATAAGATTGATTTGTATACAATTGAAACCGAACAAAACAAAAATGATTACGAGATGACATTTTAACTTCACTACTAGAATAAGTTGAATTAGCTGACAATGTTAGTGAGGGTCACGTAGTCCTCGCAAGTTTGAGTCCGCTAAGCCGACACAAATAATATATTTATTTTTATGTGAGTCTAAACGACAATAAAATGTAAAAATTAGCAATCTGGCAAGAGACCGTTGGAGGAAAGAGCAAAGGAAAAGTCTATGGGACGGCTGATTTGTCGTCGAATTTTACGCGTGAAGGTGCAACAATGTTCTACACTACTCAAGAGTGTTGTGATGATGAACTCAGCACTCATGATGTTCGATTACAAAAAGAGCTTGAAGAGTTGCGTCATGCTCAAGAAGCAGAACGTTTAGCTCATGAGGAGGAGCGTCGTGCACAAGAAGAAAAAATTGCAGAGATGGAGAAGTCAATGGAGTTGATAGTGTCACGTCTTGCAGCTATTGAGGATGCAAAAAACTCAAAAAAAAAAAAGAAGCGTCCTCATCTTCATTTTGACGAGAGTGCTCATGGCTTTCAAGGTTCGAAACGGCATTCATCTTTATAAGGCGCAAAATATTTATTCTCACTCTTAATGAAATGTTTTGACATTAAACTTATGCTTTGGAATACTTTTTATAAGCTTTCAATTGTTTGTATTACTCTAGTATGGATCATGAAATTAAACTGTTAGTGACTTTTATGAATTTTTGGTGATCAATGACATTAAAGTGTCTATTATGTTTATGTTGTATATTTTAAAATATGTTTAAACTTCCATCTCTTCAATATGAATGTTTTTGTTTATAAGAAATTTTTTATTAAAAAAAATAAATAAATTGTGTGGGTTAAGCCCTTGCTAATATTCTTTTATATTTGAACTTTAACAAGGAGTTCCTCCACACAAAATGTTGAGACAAATATCTAGGTGTTTCATTTTATGAGGGCATGTTTAACGCAAATTAGACACGATTTTACCGACACAAACTGGTCTACAAATTTGTGAGGGGATAGCGAACACTAACTAATGTGGGCTTGACCGACACTAATTATTGAGGGTTAAACCGACGCAAAATTGTGAGGAGCAGACCGACGCTATGAATTAGCATCGAGCAGCTTAGTGACGGCCTCGATTACGACGCAAGTTCGACGCAAAGCTTCCTTTTGTGGCGGCTTTTACCTTTTTGTGAGGGTTTTTGCCCCACACTAAATCGACATATTCTAGTACACCTACGTATGAGAAACTGAACAACGAACTACCAACTATGATGGATAACTACCACAAAGATTGACTAAGAAAGCAATAATTTTGACGTGAAATTGATAGAGATAGTCTATTGTACGACCAATAAACATTAATATTTTACAAGGCAAACATACCGAAAAACTGAACTACCCGAATTATTTAAATATGCTAGAATGCTACTTCTGAACCATTGTTCAATTATTCGAAACATTCTCACTCATGTGGTTCAACATAATATTAATGTGGCTTTTTTAGGTTGTACCTTTATTATTCTCTCGTATGTGTGTGCGTGTTGTGTGTGTGTGATCATACTAGCTATAAATTGAAAAACACATAGTATAAAAATGAAATATGATAAACATCAACAGTTGCCCCCATTAGAATTAGGATACTTGCACAGGAAGTCATTCATGCAAATGGCCCAATGCTCCAATAAAAAAGGCCCATGGCTTGTGATGCTTTATTAAGAGGAATCCAAAAAAAAGATTCAAGACTCATTGCTCAATAAATAATTACCTCTTAATTAGTCAGAACGTTCCCACTCATATGTGAGAAAATCGGACTTCAACAATTTCTTGATTCCGGCACGGATCAAGATTCTAGGAATGTTGTAGGTTTTCACAAAGTAGCAAACATGATGCTACAACTCTATACTAAAACATCTACAAATAAATATAAACAATAGTATTCGTTTATCAAAAAAATAATGTTAACAACATCATACCACTACATGGAACTAATAATTTTAACCATACAATTTTACTTTTCTTAGTCTTTGTGCATAGTCAATCATGAAATATTTTTGTGGGTAGGAAGGCAAGTGTATAATTAGTCAAATGTTTAACACGAAAAGTAAACTGACAGTTAAGATGTCACATGAAGGGTGTATTTTTTGATAAGACTAGTATTTTGACCCGTGCCATGCACGGAATCGAAAGAAATTTATGTCGATTCGAAATTTATTTTAATGAAAATTTTATTTTTCAGAATAAAGTAAATATATTGCTCACATGATCTTTAATACAACAAATGAAAAAAGCCAAAGTAAAATAAATAATATTTGAGGAACAGAATGTAGAGTTAACAATGTTTATTTTAATACCAAATTTTCTGAAAGATTTCAGGGTATACAACATTTTTGGTATGATTGCAAGGATTTCTATTGTCATCTAGAACTAATATTTTTAATTCGGTCTTTGTCTTCACTTGTGAAACAACAAAATATAGTTGACCATGTGTGAATACTGACTTGGTTAAAAATAATTCCACAAATGACAATGTTTGACATTGACTTTTGTTGATTGTTATAGCAAAACATGAGGTGATCGAGAATTATCTTCTTTGGAACTTCAAGGGTAGCCCTAGATCAGATGGTACCAAATTCATTCTAGGGATGTAAACTTTTTCTCCGACTCGATTTCCCAAAACCACAATTGCACCGATAACATTATTTCGCAGCTCTTGAACGAATAATTTTGTCCCATTATACAATCCAGATGTTTGGTCAATGTTTCTCAATAGCATAATCGGTACCCCTTTTTTCAAGACTATTTTGTGGTTTGGGATTCCCAAACATTTGATTTCGTCAAAAACTCAACTGTTATCCAATCGTCATCAACACCTACATCTGCTTCTGCTTGGCACGAAGAATCAGAACTCAAGTACTCCTTTTCATCACCAGGAATGAGGGACAAAACAAATTCATTTATCATTTCAACTACTTCGAGAGTTGGTGCCAATAGTGCTTTATCCTCATAAAAGAATAATTTTTCATATTTTCAAACATAAGTAATTTCCCAATATAAGACTTAAACTTTTTCAAATTTTTCATTTTTCAAATTTTCCATTTTTCATATTTCAAACTTTTTCCCAATATAATTTTTCAATTTTTTTATTTTTCATATCTGCACTAAATAACACTAAAACAAAAGTCATTTCCCAAAATAAGACTTAAACTTTTTATTCCTTAAATAACACTTAATAAAATAACATGACTATAAAATAACATGACTAAACATATACTTTTATCTTTTCTTGGATTGTTCATTTTCACATGGAGAATTTGTTAAATCCTTCTAAAATTGACATCTAATATTAAATTTTGTATAAAACTTTTTTTATTTAACATAAATTAATTTATCTATACTAACGATTTATATATGAAGATAAGAAAATTTTTCAATGCTCATTAAAAAGCAACCATATAAATTTTAAATACAAAAATTCTGGTCACTAACATATGCCATTTCATTTTGTTATTTTAAATAATTCAAAAATGTTATGCATCAAATTACCTTAAAACAATAAAACATAATTAAATGTATTAAGATAAAACAATATTTAAAGTCCGTACCTTTTCTATCTTTTTTGTTGAAGTATTCATTTTCTCATTTCTCTTGCATCTCTAGCTGATCTCGTCCATGTATCGTCAATTTGATTTTCCATAGCTCCAATTGAAATTGAAAAATAGGATATATGCTCCTACCGCCCATCCTTTTAAAAACAAAAAACTGAATGTGAATTAACGATTCTCCGCTTATTTATTGCATAATTAATTCTGAATGCCTATGTATTGAAATGGAAAATGAAAATGGGTGATGGATGTCACATTTCAACTCATTATATATCTCTTTTTATAATAGGATTTTGACCCAAGTATATAAGAGTTTCCATAAATTTGGGTATAAAAGTGAGTAATTTAACTCATTGCCAGTTAAATATATAAGTAAGGAACTCAAAATAATATTGGGTCCATCCTAGATATAACGAATTTCTTACTAAAAATAAACGAATCCAGAATAATATTACTGATTATTCAAGATACATGATTAACGATTGCCATATATAAGTAAAGGGATCCAAAATAATATAAGTATTATCCAACAAACATAATATAAGTAAGGTGATGAATAATATACTTGTGATCATAATTTTCAAATTTAGTACTATTTAGGATTGTTTCTTAATAATATTTTTCGTAAATTTTGTCAATCACCATATGTTAAGGAACTAATCTATTCTTGAAATCATATCATACCATTCATGGCTATGCATGAATCATTTTCTAATGCACAACCGTATTAGGATAGTTTCACATTTAATTATTTACTTACCTTTTGTATTTTAGGAATGACTTTATTATGGTGAGAATTCCTTGGTAAAGGATTAATATATGTAGCATGGTCCTAAAATTCTATTTAAATTAATTAAAAATATTCTTTTTTATTTTTTAAATAGTATTTATATTTCTTCATATTTATTTTTAATTTTTATATTATCATCATAATTGGAGTTCGTATTGTTGTAATCTGAATACATATATTTACATATAATATTATTGATTATCCAAGATACATAATTAAAGATTGCCATATATAAGTAAAGATATCGAAAATAATATTAGTATTATCCAAGATACATAATATAAGTAAGGTGCTGAATAATATACTCGTGAT